ATGAAGAGGTGTAATCCTAGTAACCAATCTAAGATTTAGGATTAATTCCCGTGATTGACAATTATGCTGGATTTTGGACAGAATGATGAATATGAGATGTTTAGAGGTTACTGTTAGGATTATGGCAGTAGGATTAGTGACAATAATGATGTACAGTAGCAGAATAACAGTATGGATTACTGTAGTATTAATATACATCTGAGTTATTAGTAAGATGTGGTTATTAAAGTTGTGTTTGATAATTATGATGAACCAATGACGTTTGATAAATAATGATGTTTAATAAATTATTTTGAGATGTTTATGAGATGCTGTAATTGAGATGTTTATGAAATTTTGTTATTTTGAGATGATTGAGATGTTGTTGTTTTGAGATGTTTCTGAGATGTTATTGTTCTGAGATGTTTATGAGATGTTCTTGTTCTGAGATGTTTATGAGATGTTGTTGTTTTGAGATAATTGAGATGTAGTTGATTGAGCGTTGACATTACATTCATGATGAGTCACATACATTGCATTTTTGAGATGGAGCTTATGCTCGTTGAGATGGCCTGGATTGGAAAATTTTGAGATGAAGGCTATGCCTTGTTGATGCCTCTATTAATTGGCAGATTTTTGAGATGGGAGTTCTGCTCCAATGGTACCACATGTATTTGCATAGTTTTGAGTCGCATTATATGATTGAATAATGAAATGTATTTGATGTTGATGAATGAGTATATATGCTGTAATTATTGTTGATTATGAGATGAGAAGTGGTGATATTATTGATCTAATTTAATATATTAATTATCATGCGCCTTACTATATTGTTAGATATCTCACCCCTTCTGTTTGAATGTTGCCCTTATGTTGGTAACGTGCAGGTAATCGCGAGTGAAGGCTGTATACCTTCAATAGTTCGAGTCAGTGTCATTTCTATGATATGTAACACTCGGGGGGATGAACGCTTACTGCTTTTTGATTGCTGATTTTTAGTTGTTGAACCTTAAATTGTTTATTTACTAAATATGAGATGTTTCGAAGTTGCTGTTTATTTTAAAGATGTTATTGAAGAATTCCACTACGTAGTTGTTGAATTATTTAGTGAAAGATGTTATGTTAATGGTTCATCCGATGTTTTGAAAATGTGTTATATATCCATGATGAATGCAATGAATTTATTAGAAGAGTTTGCGACGTCCCGATTCATTTGTATGATTGAAATTTCATAACTCTGATTTATTTTTCATAATTTGCTTGGGGTAGAATTGGGGTGTTACACCGACGAGGGTCTCCATTTGGTCGATACCGTCACTGATCCATCATTGTCCTGGGTCATACCAGAGCCTCGAGGAATAGCCTCGGTCCTTGGAGGTAGGAATACACGGTCGTCGAATATGGCAGCGACCGGGAAGGTTTCAAACGAAATTTCATGATCTTTCGCTCGACCCTTACGACCAGAATATGCTCGACTTTCCAGGAAGATTGCCATTGACCTAATAGAATCCATTTCCAGGATTTCAACTATGGCTGCACCTAAAGTCTTCTTGAGATCAAACCTTCACCCATTCTCTCAAGGTATCATCAAACAACTGTTTTATTTACATTTGTTTACAATAATATGCTTCTACACAAGCAATATGTAAACAAAATTTAAGCACATCAGAAGATCCTAATACACACTAAAAATATTACATTTTATTTTATCTCTAATGTGTGGTCTTATTTTCTTCAAGTAACTTCTTCACGGACAACAACCCAAAGCACTTGAATTACTGAAGTCTTCTTCTTCAAAAGCTTCTGAAAGCTTTGTTGATCTCATTGTAGCATAGAGAAGAACTTCTTCATCTTGATTCACCTTAGAACCTTCTGGACAACAACCCTTGTTCTATCTTTTTCAATGATCACTTTTGAGCATAACATTTGTGTTGTGGATTTGTAACTTGAACATTCATGATCATCTTCATTATCTTCTGTAGCTTAGAAAGCTTTATGTAAAATATAGAATTGCGCACATTGTGAATGAATAATTTTATTGTAATCATTAACAAAATGATTGGAGAATCATTTTGATAACATTTCGTCTTGTTGTTGTTATAGTGGTTGATAACTTTGGTTGTGTTCTAGAAAATGAATGTTATCTTTTAACATTAAATACCACCACCAACAACTTACAACTTTTAGAACCTTGCCAAGCAGCTTATGGAAAGCTCATCAATATTCAACATCTGTGTTGAGCAACAACTAATCAACCAACACGCTAACCAACCAACAATTCTAAACATACAATTCTTTTCTTATATAGCCAAGAAAAATAGAGTCGCTGGCTATTTGAAAAAGAGTCGTTACAAATAGTACTACGACGTCCTTATCTCTTCCACACTTTAATTTTATGGAGAGGTAGTGACATAAAGCTTTTCATACTGTGTACTTTTTTACTGTGTTACCGTTACATTCTTTCCTTCTGCACTTCAGAGGCTTCTGCAAGCATGATATTAGAAGCGAGAACATAACATAAGGTCTTTAGAACTTCAAGTCTTCATAGTCTTCAAAACTGTGTGTTCATAGTCTTCAACACTTAGTCTTGATAACCTGTTGTAGCGAACCTTTAGATCAGAAGAGCTTCAAGTCATTAGAGTCTTAAGAACTGCGTCTTTAGAGTCTTAAGAACTGCGTCTTTAGAGTCTTTAGCACTTGGCCTTCAGAACCTATTTGTAGATAACCTTGGACCTTTAGAACTTCAAGTCTTTGGAATCTTCAAGCCTTATGTCTTAGAATCTTTAGCACTTGGTTCTTTAAGAATCCTTATCTTCAGAACCTTGTTACTAGAAACACAAAGTCTTCAGCATCTGGACTTCAGTTAGAAATGTTGTCTTCAGATCTTTTAACTTTGTCTTCTTTGGAACAAGTTGTCTTCAGAAACTAAGTTTTTAGCATCTAGACTTCAGTAGAAACTTTGTCTTCAGATCTTCTAACTTTGTTTCTTGAAACACACTGTCTTTTAGAAACACGAGTCTTCAACATCTGGACGTAAGTAACAACTTCTGTCTTCAAATCTTCTGACTGGTTTCGTTAGAACACGTTGTCTTTAGAAGCTTGAGTCTCTAGCATCTGGACATAAGTAACAACTTCTGTCTTCAGATCTTTCGACTGGTTTCTTCAGACAAATATCAGGGCTTACACTTCAGAATCTTCTGAAGTGTTTTGCTATAGTTCAATAGAACTTGTGTAGCATATAAAAGAAAATATTTCTCTTTTAATGTCTTGGAACGCCATCTATTAGAAGCAGAACCTGTTGTTAAGTACTAAACAATAACAAACATTAGTATAACAAAATTGTTCATACAGTCATACTCATTTGTTATTATCAAAACTTAGAGATAATATTGCAGAACCAATTCTTGTTCTTACACTTCCTAGTTAGCGACCAACTTTCCTTCACGAGAATCTTTTTGATTTCTCCACAAGACTAGGCTGTCTACCCGAAATTCGCGTTTTATAACTTTGGTATCATGACGCAGAGCTATCTGCTGTTTCAGTGTGGCTTCGCAAAGATCTTCTCCTGATCAGATTTCTTCGACCGTGTCTAGCTCTTCCCTTAGGGACTCGCCATTTAGTTCCTTATATAAAGGGAATTCAGTTCATCTAGATGGCTCTAGGATTTTCACGGGGATGACAACTTTGGTGCCATAGGTTAGTCGGAACTGGGTTTCACCGGTTGTCGAGTATGGCATCATTCGATAAGCCCATAGGATGCTGTGCAGATCTTCAATCCACCCTTTTTGGATTTGCCTAATCCTATTCTTGGGTCCTCACAAGATGAATCTATTTGCGGCCTCGGCTTGGCCGTTGGTTTGAGGGTGTTCGATAGACGTGAAGTGCTGTTCGGTGCCGAGCTTGGCGATAGAGTCTTGGAAGCTTTAGTCAGTGAACTGTGTCCCGTTGTCAGTGACAAGCTCTTGTGGTATGTCGAATCGAGCAAGCACATTTTGTTTGCAGAAACAAAGGATGTTATATGATGTGATTCTGGCCAGGGCTTCGGCCTCTATCCACTTCGTGAAGTAGTCAATGACCATGATCAGAAATTTATTTTAATATGATCCTTGTACGAATGGTACGACGATGTCCATCCTCCACCAGGAGTACGAACACAAGGACGATAACATTTTGACTTCGTGTGGGGGTGCGTGGTGCATGTCCACGTGTCTTTGACACTTGTCTCATTTTTTGATGTTCTTCTTCATGTCTTGCTGCATGGTGGGCCAGTAATACGTTGCTCACAGCGCCTTTCGTGTCAGAGATCTTCCGCCCAAGTTTTGGGTGTTGATTTTCTCGTGGATTTCCACCGCTTATTGATACTGTAAAAATCACAACTTCTTCGATTTTCTCGTGGATTTTATCGTTGGTTTTCACTGTTTATTGATACTGTAAAAATCATAACTTCTTCGATTTTTATTGTATCGAGACGATTATTTTTGAAAAATTTCAAAAATTATGTCAGCTATAAGTTTGCTTCAGACCCCAAGTTCAGATTTTGATTGAAGGATTTTCGTTCGTGGCGTTCTTTCTAAACTGAACGGTGAAATTAACTGAGAAAAATCTGCATTAGCTAACTCTGCTTTGCGTCTGTGCATCTTCAAAAATTCATAACTTTCTCGTCGATTATCTTATTGAGCCTGTTCTTTCGACATCGCATCACAAATATTGTCATCTTCATTTTTGATGTTGAGGTCAAATCGAGATTTCGCACCAATGATGACATGGTATTTTGTACTCACATTGTGCATTAAATTGTTGACACTGTCAAAACAACGCCCAATTCAAATTCAAATCCAAGGCTCAATTGGAGAGAATATATAAGTTCAAAATTCAGATTTTCTCTCATAAATTCACTCACTCCCAAAAAATTCTCACAAATCTCTCTCTATTCTCTCAAGGACCAAACTCCATTTTTCTTCAATTTTGCTCAAGAACACATAACCATCTTCAACAACCTCAAGATTCAAATTCATCAAAACTCAAATCTGCTTCCCTCTTTTCTTCCATCGATCCGATTCTGCTAGCCACCACCGCCAGTGACCGGAGCCACCACCTCCTCCGCCCTTGACCACCGTACCACCTCCCTTAATTTCCGGCTCAAACCGCCGGCGCTCTCTCCCTCCGATCACACATTTTCTGGTAGCAGCCTCTCTGATTTCTTGCATTTTCAGCCAGCACTTCAACCTCCTCTTCATTTCCTTCAGTAAATTGTCTTTGATTAATTGAGATTTGTTGATATATTCTTGAATTGAATAGAGTTGTTGAGATTAAATTGAATTGAATTTTTCTTGTAGCTTAGGTGTTTGATTAAATGCTTGAGACATAATCACATGATGTGAATTGAAATTGAGATTTGGATTTTTGAAGTTTAGTTGAGATATTGATAATGTGAATTATGTTGATTTGATTTTCATTGACATAAGCATGAGTTTGAATTGAATTTTTGATATTGTTAAGATACTTTAATTCTTGAATTGGTGAAAATGTTGAGAATTCTTGAATTTGTTGACATCATTTGATTTTTGAATTAACTTCCATAATGTTGAGATGTGTAGTTGGTTGATTGAAATCCGGTAAATAATGTTGTTTCTTAATTATAATTTTTTTATGTCGAATTTACTGGTAAGTTTTGATTCTTGATTTGTGGTGAGAATTAAGTGCAATTTCATGAGTTAATGTAATTTGATACCGACTTGTTGATGGATTTAATTCTTTGACACTGAAAACCTCAAATTGGTTGAAATTAGATTAATACATGAATATTGACTTGTGCTAAGAATTAAGGCATTTGTTGTGATTTAATCATTTGTAACATGTTTACAATTCCTAAGCGATAATACTTGAATCGAAAAGTGTATTTTCACATCCGTTTGCAATTGTTAAAATTAATTTTGATCACAAATGGTTCAAGTAAACGTGGCTGTCCGGAAATGTAAGCATGTCACAATTTGCTTTTTCATATTTCACTTGAGGTTTGTTTGCATATGTTTATGCATTTGTGGACCGTTTGGGTTGAGAAATACTGTTTCTGATACATTTTTCTGATCCACTCTTTGGTATAGTGCAATGCATCCCGTTTGTGGTAATTCGAGCATAAGGTTGGACTTAATTGATGGTTAATGCTCAAGATGCTTTGTATTGATATTTGGACGGCATTTATGCTAAGTTTTACCGTTTTTGGATTGATTTCTCATGTGATTCATGTGTTAACAACACATCTGCCTGTAAAGGTAAATGGCACTTGTGATGTGATCTAATTTGCGGTACACACTTTTGTGAGCTTCTTGGTAAGTTTGGAAGCTACCGTATAATTTTTGTGCGAGTCCGTTCCGACATTTCGTGCATCTAAAATTTGAACATGTTGCTATTTGGTTCTTTATAACATGTACATTGAGCTTTGAATTTCATATGATACATGCTTGCACTTTATTAATTGATTATGGACCATTGTGGTTGAGTTCACTTGATTCTGGTGCATTTTTCTGGTTAATTCATGATACAACAGTAGTGCTGCCCTGTTTTCTAACTTGCACCCAGAACTTGATTGAATTGTTGGTTAACGCATAATTGCACATGTTTTGGTCTTGGTTAGACGTTTGTATCGAGTTGTATTGATTTCAGATTTTTTTTGTGCACTCATGTTTGTAATGCAATGATGTCTGGAGTTTATGTTTATACTTCTAGAATGCATTTAACTTCTACTTCTTCATGATTTAATCATAAATTGAATTATGTTGAGAATGCATAAATCCGATTGCGGTTTCTTGTTATCACTAATGTGTTTGTTGACTTATACAAGGTAAATTGTGAGAGCTTTCAATCATGTAACTAAAGTGTTAGTTATTTTATTGAAAAGCATTTGATTTGTGGATTCGCTTCAGACACTATTCTATTTTGATTCTCATTTCATGAGAAATATACACTGTTTGTGTTTTGTCTGGATGTGAATTTGTGTGTAGGTGTTTTGTTTATTGCAGATGTGTATGCCACGCATTCTCACCGTGCTTATTCGATCGATGCATATTCTGACTATTGTGTTGTTGATACTAGCTTGCGCGAAGTTTTCCGGAGTGTTTCTGCTTTTGCTTGCTTGTTGTATAAATACACTTTATCCATTTGGTATTACACTGATTCCGATTTATCTTTCCGCATTTTACCGCTTTCTAATGCCACGAGAAGTAGGAATGAAGATGCATGCTTTACTGCTTTCCTTTCCATGAGAAGTAGGATAAAGATGCATGTTCTGGGAGTCCCTTTGAGGCAAATTCACTGTTTAGAAGACCTGTAGTAGGAAATTCCTACTTGTGTCTGGTTACTAATCGAAATGTTTACATTTGTGCCCAAAGACCTCGATGAAGGCGTCCTATTCCCATTCCACATTTTATAAGTCCTTAAAAGGAGGCAAGGCGAGCAGAGGGTCCACAATCAACCTGCCATTTCTAGTTCGTGTCATTCGTAGCTCGTGTCGTGCATTGATGCTTCGAATCGTGCTACTCCTGTTATCGAGTCGGTCAAGTGGAATACGAGGATTTTTAACTGACCCCCCACGTTTTGTCTTTAGCTCGCGTTTGTGAAACATTAACACTTTGATGTGATCTCATTATTGTATTTTATCACTTACCTCGATTCTTGATATCTTGGTTAAGTGTTTAGTCGCTTATGACGATTCACTCTTTGTTCTTCTCTTTCCTCTATTATTTGATATCTTGGTTAAATAGTCTACACCCTTTTCTTTCTTGCCGTGATGAGTTGATATCACGATAAAGAACCATATTCCACAATCTACTTGTCTCGGCGATTCGATTTCTTGGCTAAGATCCTTTTATCCTACCTTGATGATTCAATATCACGGTTAGGCACCCCACTCCCTTTATCCTATCTCGATGATATGATATCGTGGTTAGGTATCCCTCTGCTTAACCTACCTTTGTGCGATGATACCTCGGTTAGGTGTGTGCTACTTGAGTGAGTGGATACTTCTCAAGCTTTATGTGCTTGTTTGTTTTGATTTCGACTTTGTGTGATCATATTTATGTGCGTATTTCCTTAGGTTGTAACCTTTGTATGTTATCTTAGGATTCACTTGTTTCGTTTCTTATGCAAGTTAGACATTAGGATCACAATCCATGCATGCTAACATAGGTATAGATTTCCCTTTCAAACTCAATTATAGGATCAATCATTGTATGATAACATTAGGGATAGAGCTAGATAGTTTCCCTTAGATGTTTTCCTTTATTTTTTCATCCTTAAAACTAAAACTCTTTTCTTTGTAAATGCATAAAACACATAACAAATTTTAAATCCTTTTTCAAGATAAAAAATATCAACCAATGCAAACTCTTTTTCGCCTTCGGGCCTTTTCTTTCAAACTTTCAAAAAGAACATGTTAATTCATTTCTGTGCTGATGCGCGAGTCTCCAAAGGTTGAGCTGCGGCAGAAAGCAAAATTAATATTATTCATAAAAAGCACACAACAAATTGAAACATGTGAGTCAAACTACGACACTCTGATTCCTTAAAGGGATACGTAGGTGTGATACGGTGGGAGAACTGACTTGGGATTTTGCGTTTGTTTTTGCACTTGTTCGGTTTAGCAAGAGTCGCCACCGACTTTTTATTTTATCCAAAGGAAAGGTCAAAAAGCACAGGAAAGACCTTTGAGATGTTTTCTTGGGTTCGGGGGGTAGATTATGAAAAGGGAAGGTGCTAGCACCCTTTTCATCCATGGTTATCCATGGGCTCTTAGTTACTTGTTTTAGATCACTTGCCTTTGTTTTTCAATTGTTTGAAATGGTGCTTTATGTGTGTGGTTTTGAAAATGTTTTGAAAAATATGCCTTGTCTAGGCAACCTTTGTAATGATTCTTGTTTGAATATATACAAAGGTGTGTGTCTTTTTGAAAAGATATTCCAATGTTTTTGAAAGTTGTTTTGAAATTGTTTTGAAGTTGTGTTGTGAAGTGTGTTTGAAAATGGCAAGATGTTTTGCAAGATTTTTGATCAAGTAACTAAGAGTTGTCTACCCTACTTTACTCAAAAGATCTTTCTTATGTTTTTAACCCTTTTAACAGTGTTGTTTCACCATTGTATTTGGTGAACAACCTTGCGTTAGGATGTTTAACGGGACATCCGCGAGTCATCGTATACAATCAATGAAAGCAACTTGTGAGATGCTCTAGCAATTTTGTAAGGGACGAGATCTTTTTATCGAAGGCAACATCGAGGGTCATCGAGGGACTATGATCTTTATTTATTGAAGGGACATTTGCTAGAATGTCTCATACTCGAGGGATATGATTGTATTTTCCGAGGCAACAAGCGAGGTTACCCTAGAGGTGCAAGTGTGAATTGTGTATTAATTTTCATGCATTTATCTTGTATTAGGTCATCTAGCGATTGATTTTGAATCTTCGCATACAAACCCTAATTAATATACAGTATATGGAAAGCGATAAATTGCGGGAATTTAAAGTCTAAGTTATTACAAATAAGTATCCGGGGATGGGGGTACAAATGTTTACAAATGGGGATGAGTCTTATCAGAATAGTAATGTCCAAGTATATATTACAACCAAATCGAACTGTCGCATTCTCAATTATAACAAGGTATAAGATAATAAAAAATCAAAGAAAATATGAGATGCGTATATTTATTTACAAATGATCAAATAAAATTTTAACCTAAAAAGACTTAAGTATAATTATTATTTATTGTATTTTTTATGAATTATGTAAATAAAGAGTTTTAAAGAAAAGAAAAATTATTTTAAGTTAAAATTCTATTATTTATGCGTGTTTATTAAATGTAATAATTATTAAGAAAAATTATTAAAAAAATTTGTACAAAAAATTTACTATATTTTTTTTATCTAACGAAAGAAAAGAAAAGAAGAAATAGATTATAAAGAATGATGATAAAATGATAAAAAATGTTACTTTTAAAAACATTAAGAAAAAAAAATTAAGAAAATTTATAAAAAAATTTAATATATTTTTTAACAATAAGAGAAAAAAGAAGTATATTGTAAAAAAAGAAAATAATATTGATAAAAAGGGTATTAGTTCAACAAAAATGATGATGATGGGTCTAATGATTAGTATGACCCAAAGAGAATGAAGAAGAATAAATAATTAAGAGGAAGAAAGGGAAAAGGTGGGGGGTGCGCTTAGTAGGAATGTTTGGGCTTAAGCAA